GTATCCCTCGATAATAAGTTTCTTATTTTTTTTCATTGAGTGATGAGTGTGTAATTAGCATGATTTTTATTATCTATTACATTGAACTTTGTAGTGTTTATTACATTATATTATGTTATTTAAGAATAAGATGACGATTTCGAGGTTTTGTAGGAACAACGTCGAATTGAAGTAAGAAACCCAAGCCAAAACCAAGGAGAAGCCAAAAGCCATCAAGGAAGCTTAAGGAGAAATATGTCTATGTGTGATACAAGAAGAAATAGCCACTAGCCATGTGGAACAAAAAAACAAAATTGGGTGGATGTCTAGCATGATAAACTTTGACCTTTCGGACATCTTACAAGCTTTTTGAAGCCTTAAATTTAGATTTGAAAGAAGTAGTCTTCAAAGACTTTATAGAGGATGTCTCAATATTTCTAGAATGATATAGTGAGTTAAAATCCAAGTTTGTTTAAACCTCCAAATGATATTTCATATTTTGCTCTAGAAAACTAATCCAAATCCCATTTGGAGTTCAAATCGATTGTGGAGTTTCATTCATATCAAGATTTTAAGAACTCAAATTAATACAATACTAAACTCATGGAATACAAGGCATATCTATAAGTCTTATGAAGGACTTGAGTCCAATCTAGGTTGGTATCATGAAGGAATTCAACTGCAAAGTGGAATCCTAAGGTTGGTGGATAAAATAAGTCTATGTCATTGTTCAGCTCGTAACTAGAGTTGTGGATATCCAATAGATGTAAGGCTTAATGTTTTAAAAAGCTAAGAAATAGGACTACTATTTTTATGAAGAACTTAAACCCTAATTTGGCCTATATCAAGTCTATTCAAGCTAATTATTTAGAGACACGAGTTGTAGAGCAAACTCCATACAGGTAGAAGGTTTTCAAATGAGATGAAGGCAAAATTCCATACGAGCAAAAGGGTCTTACATTGGATGAAGCAATAAAAGATATAAGATAAAGTGAAAAAGGCACACGACCATGTGCCTTAGCTAAGCAATCCGTGTGACACTTATAGATAACTAGAAATGTGATGTAACCCTACTCTTAGCTATAAATAGTGAAGTTAGAGTCTCACTTTAATAGTCTCTTTAATTCCTACCTCGTAGCGACCACTATTCATAGAAAAATCTCTTTTTAATTCATTAAGAGTAACTAAACTCTATTCTTGATTGAATCAAATCGAAACTTATAGTTAATCGCTATGAGATTATGGGTTTTATTTCCAAACTTATCTTAATTGGGTATTTTATATTTTTTTTGCATGATTGGGTTATAGTTATGTGATTGGATTGATTAGAATGTATGCTAATTGTTTGATCATATTAACTTATTGCTAGCTAAGTATTTAAGTTCGTGTAATTGCTTGTCTAAACTTGCTTAAGGTAATAACAAAGGGTTAATGATTATGTGGTGTTTTTGTTCAATTATTTGAAAAATATAAAACTAGGTTATATCTTCTTTAGTGCTTAGAAAGTTGGCTTAGCTTCACTCGTCTTTCTCTGTTTAATGCTATTACTAGATTAAATCTATCTAGCTTTTAGTAGGTTGTTCAATAGCTAGGAAATTAATTGGGTATCATATATTCAATTAACAATTAAGTAAGGAAAGACCGAGGACAACATACATGTTGTCGTCTTACAATAAATATTTATGTTTATGATAAGTTAATTATTTAATCGATGATCAACGATTAGACTAAAAGTGGATACTGAAGTTTAACTAAATTTTCTTTATTATTGTTATTTCAATTTATTTAATTGCTTCCAAACACTCTAAATACAAAACCCCTCCCTGTTTTACTTTTACATTACAAGAACAATCAAACAAAAGAAACGATCAATTCATCCTCCTTGATTGTGGGTTTGACCACTTACTTGACTTGATTATATTATTGTGGTTAATGTTTTGTGAGGACATTATAAATTACTAATTTATCGGTGGTATAATACTTCATCAAGGAGTATCATTTTTTAGTGTTATGTCTATAATCCTAATGCTAAAGGCGAGTATTTTTTTTTTTTTTTGTAGGTGGATAAGACCCTTTTTATGGGCGTTAGGTGATTTACATATACTTTTGCTAAGATTGCTATAAATACCTCTATTTGGGTTACATTCAAAAGAGTATTCTATAGCTTTAAAAACATGAGGCAATTATGGATAAGTCTCTCCAGGTTATTTTTCAAATCATTATGAGCAAATAATGATTTTTTTTTTACTTATCGAGAGTCTTTTGAAATTAAGGATGCATCTAGACCCCTAGCGGCTATTATTTCCTCTACCTTAATGTAACTTTCAACTAGCTTCTTTACCTAGTATAAATGCTAATAAGAAAATGTATATGCCTTTTTATATAAACTGGTGCAACTAAATCCTTTGATAAGAGCTTTTTTCGTAACCTATTCTAAAAAGCCATTCAACTTCAACATTTTCTCATACAAACGAGAAAGGTACCCCCGAGTACTCTTTTTCTCTCGTTGTGTGTTGGAGAAAAGGTTTACCAAGCTCTTTTTTAGTAAGAATGCTTATGCAAAAACGAGCCATCGGTATAGAACTAAGATCCTCAAAGCTTAGAACGAACTTAGGATATGAACTATTTGTACCATTTTCTAGTAGAATCTCAAAAGATGGTCGAAAACACTTTGTATATGACATATATCCCCTGCAATACTAGTTCAAAGGGTTCTCTTTATACTCTATACATGTTCTTTAGAGTCGGTAGAGCCATCATACAAATCCAAATTCATTTTCCTTGAGATGAATTCTTAGAGAATTTGGTGTCAAAAATGTAGAGAACTAAAAGCAATTCCTAGAATTTATGCTCATGGTGGTCTAACTATGAACTAGAGAAGACCTCAAACATTTTTTCAATATGGTGATGCTTGAGCTCTAAGATCACGAATAATGTTTTTGATCAAGATGAGCTTTGTTTATGTCTTTATTGGTGTCTCTTACTAGAGTAGTTTGTCTTTTTGGTATCACTTTGATGTTCATACCTTATTTCTCCTTCTTTTTCCCTGTAAAACACCTAACTCACAAGATCTTTTTTGGGTAATATGCATTGCTTTTTTGAGGTTTTAGAGACGGACGATGACTTTATTTTCAATTCTTACATTAGCATATCTTTTTTGTATTTCATCAAGTGAACGTGGGCCTTGTCAATTAGTGTAGAGAGAGAAGAAACGTTCTTTTGTACGAGGTGCGAGTGTGGCAACACTAGAGTATCCGGAGGTGGAGGGTGAGAGGTGCTTATGACAAGAAAGTTAGCACTTTAATAGTGCTTGAGCTGCAAAGAATTCCTCTATAAGATTCTGAATATGTTATTATAGTTGAACGACATTTATAGGCTAAATGTTGAGACTAGAAAAAATTTGGAAAAGTAGTACGACCATGTTTTTATGGTTGTTCTACCATACATAAGCCTAGAAACAATCTAGAAAATAAATAAAAAAGATAAAAAGAAATTGATTTTTTACTTAGTTTTTCATAGACGATGCCAACTAATGAGTTGTGAAAGACTCATTTAGTAAAACTAGGAAACATGGCTCACATAAGTGGGATAAGGGTTTGGAACTCACTAAGAATGCTGGAAGGTTTCTTGTATTGGATACCTACAAAACAAGTTCCTCTAGTTTGGTGAGAGACCCCTCGATGATCAAGAGAGTGTTCTGAATGTGGCAAATAGGCTTGAAAAGGCTCTTTTGAATAAATTATTGATTGAATGTAAATTGTTTGTAAATGAGAGGAAATTATTTAGAAAATAGAACCTTTTGGAATTTTCAAAAGTCCTTCATAGATTTTTATATAAGCAATCATGAGTGCAACTTGCATGATAAAAAAGTTAGGAATATCTTTTTCTTTTAGCATATGTGGCTGAACTAACAGGTGATATGTTCTGCTACCATTGTATCTGATCTATAACAACATTAATTCTATTATGATAAGTGGCGATTTGATTATTATTGTAATTATAAAATTTTTATTAAATGCTTTGTCTCTCCAAACAATAATAGAAAAAAGCAATATATTTTTTTAAATCGGAGCGTTTTAGGATATAAGAGTGCATAAGCTTTTATTACGAGACGAACTGCTTTGTAGGGGATAGTCGTTCTTCGAAGACTTTGGATCCATCTAATTTGTTATTGCCTTGCATTGTGACTTATGAACTTGAATTAAACTTAATGAATTTGGTATTGTGTATTTATGTGTCTTTTCTGTTGGGATGTATAGGAAGGAGACTCATGAGTCTATTTCTATGAAAACCATTTTTTGATAAATTCGTGTGGTCAAAACTTAAGAAGCTGGGGTGGGGGTGCAAGTAAATTCACGCGAAGTAAATCCAGTTGGCATTTCTCATTTTCTCTTGTCACCTATCTAACTATTCTGAATTTTTTTTTCTGTTTTTCACTCTAGCTGGTCTGACTTCAATCCACATAATCCCAATTCCAATAAAGTCACCGCATAAGGTTGAGCTGACCTAGCCTCGATCTAGCCCTCATGGTTATTTTATTGGTGAGTTTTGTGTGAGAGTGAGAGTCCAATGTGGCCTGACAATTGAAAAGGCCCATACGTTGATAACATGTTATCGTTTATGTAACGAACAAATGCCCATCTGCTTCCTGTAGGCCAACTAGATCGCTGTTGCTTTGATGAACTTTGTCACTACTCCTGACTAATCCTTTCTACCGCTTCAAAAAACAAGCTTAAAAAACAAAAGCACAGAGATCATCAATAATTTTGGAGAAGAAATCGTAGCCACACCCACAATCACACACTCTCAGTCTATCTGTCTGTCAATCAACTATGACTAGTATATAAGCACAGCAGGCTTCCTTTTTATGAATATAATATCCTCCATTTATATAAAAACTATTTGATCGAGTCCAAGCTACTGCTACAGATTCCAAGACTTCTTTCTAGCTACTTTCCTCCAAATATATATATATATATATATCCCTTCATATAGTACAGTAACATTTTGCTGCAACAACAATGGAAGGAGCTGGGAGTAGTGAATATAGAAAAGGATTGTGGACTGTGGAGGAGGATAGAATCTTAATGGATTACGTAAAGGTGCATGGCAAAGGGAAGTGGAATCATGTACCAAAAATCACAGGTTAGCAATTTTTTTTTTTTTTCTTTTCAATCTTTGCGTATAGAAAGTAAATAAATGTTAGTTTTAGTAGTTGTTGCAAATTTTTCTTTATCAGCTAAAAGATTGTTTGTTTTTTAATGTTGTGGTTTATTAGGCCTCAAGAGATGTGGCAAAAGCTGCAGGTTAAGATGGATGAATTATCTAAGCCCTAGTGTTAAGCGCGGCGATTTCTCAGAGGAAGAAGATGACCTTATCATCCGCCTTCATAAACTTCTTGGCAATAGGTTTCTCTTCATCTCTTACGAACGTTGTATAGTTTCTGAGTTAGCATAGCATGAGAAAATTCTCCAGATTTTCTCATGCCAACTCAATTCTAATTCATTTTCCTAGCTAATTAAAACGCAAGCCTTAAAAAAATGCATGTTTTTAACAAGTTAATTCTTTCATTAATTTGTTGATAGAATTGGTGAAAATGATCGATCATCATTTTGGAGACAGTGATGAAGAATTACTATTGTTTTTTAAAGCTTGTTTGATGGGCCCAGAGGACATTGGTACTCCAATATCATGCGTTTTTGGACACATTCTGAATGGTTATATATATGGTTTCATAAAATCATCAACCCAATTTGTTATGGTACTTGATAGCAAAAATTGGCCATCCTTTTTTTTTTTTTTTTTGGGGGGGTGAAAACAGTCAGGGGCCTTAGCCCATTAGCAATCCTTCTGTCTCCGAGTCTTTTACCTATGTGGTTCTATATATATGTATGGTTTTACTCTCATTTCTGACTTGACCCGTACTGCCGGCCATTACCATGTCTTTTGTAGTATCATCTACAATGTTATTGTACTCGTTAAAAGTAGAGGGAGACCTTTTACTGTACTGGGCTTTGTTGTTTATCACCAAATATATATAACAAATATTTATTCTTATACTTTCATTACTTTCTTTAGGTGGTCTCTGATTGCTGGTCGGGTTCCGGGAAGGACAGATAATCAAGTGAAGAACCATTGGAACACTCATTTGAGCAAAAAACTTGGCGTTAAGAAGGAAAAATGCAAAGTTAGTGCTTCTTCATCCAAATTTTCCAAAAAATTCAGGGTGAAATCCGATACTAAATTAAGTTCAATCGATGAACCAATTCCTAGTTGCAATGGTAAAGTTAAAGGCGGCTTGAATGCGATGGAAAGTGATGCAGAGAAAACAAAAGAAATCACTTGCATGCAAGAGCCAATATTTGCAAGTGATTACCATGAGAATTTTTGGCTTTCTAATGATGATCCATATACTTGTAGTCCTAGTTTAATGGAACTTTTAGATGAGTCTTTCGATTTTTTTGGCATGGTTTGTAAAGCTGCTGGTTTTTCCTTTTTTATCTCAACAACTCTTTTTTAATAAATAATTTTATTCTTATTTTTCCTTTTTTTAAATTAATCTTGAACACTTTTAATTTAATATCATTTTATTTTAAAAAATAAAATATATATATATATATATATATATATATTGGATATGGTGTTGTCAAAGAAAATGATTAATCTTTCACGATTATACGAGATTGATATTTATAGTAAAATAAAAATAAATATTAATTATTAGAAATGGGTTATATCACTTTTGTTTGGACAGTCATATTTAAATTAAAAAATTTTGATTTTTTTTGGATTAAAATACTTTAATTTGTTAACAAAGACTAAAGAAAGTAATTATAATTTCTTTTTTTAGCAAGCGTTGCTCTAAACTCACAAGACCAATTTTTATTTTTTTAATATATATCAAAAGCAATAAATGAACACTAGTTTTGTTAGAATATTCATAATTATTCTCGTGATTCAAGGCTCTATGTTGAGCAAAATTTATTTTTCATCTAATTTATTTATTATGTAATTTGAACTTATACTAGAACTAAAAAAAAAAAAAACACATAATGAAATTAATTAATTTAAGATAAAATCGGTTTGAATAAAAGCTTTGCATTAGAAAAACGGAAAGAGAATTGAGTTACAAGGACTAGAGTAGAAGAATGGGAGTTGGTAATTGGTTGGTACTGTGGGGCAGAGCATTCTTGTATAAATTATCCAGCTATGAGAATATAAATTATTGAGAGAGCGTGGAGAGCTTTCCATATTAGTCAAATTCTTGAGGCAGCAAGAAAAAGACAGGTTCAGGAGTTTCAGCAATTCATTGCTAATATTTGCGTACTTTCAACAAACGTACAAAAAAGTAAAAGTGCATGAGGCTATAAGTCATCCTTCTTTTTCTTTTCTTGTTTTTTTGGGCTGTCCCTATGAGCATGCATGGCTTTTTTTGAGAAAGAAGGCAAATCTTGTTGAAAGGCACTCATACATGATAATTTATTAATCCATACTTTTGAAACTTTGAAAATTACTTTACTTGATTATGGTGATCAGGTTGCGAGGCCGTTTTATAAGAATTTCTTACGCTGTGAGATTAAACTAATTGAAATTGAGGTAGAAAGTTTTCCATGTGGTCGGACCATATGACAGGGAATTAGAAAACAACACTACCTTACGGGAAACGTTGGCTTGGTATTTTGTCTGATTCGTAGATTTTGGTTTGCCAGCTGTCCAATGTCCGTCGCCCGTTTTTACCATCTCGTGAGTGGCTCTCCAGACACAATTTCCCATCTGCTAGAACCAACAATGGCACTAGCCCCTAGCTAGGTTAGTCCAATTAAATTTCAGTTTTCTCTGGCTTTTCAAGGGAGCTTTTCTACAAGTTAGCTCATCAATATGTTTAGGAAATCTTTAAGTAAAACTAACAGGGGGTGGGGGGTGGGTGGGGATAATAATAATAAACAGAATTATGGAAGGTGCATCATATAAATTTTTCTTATCTTGTAGGGTGTTTTGTGGAGGTTCATTCACTTAAATTTGATGAATTGAAGCTTATCGGATTCAACGGACGACAAAATTCAAGATTTTGTGGGCTACTTTTTCTTATAGCATTGAAGTGGTTAAAATTTTCTTTGCCTCCATTTTCATTCGAATTTTCTTGTTTTTGTTTTGAGATTACATTTGAAACCATAATTTTAAATAGCGATAGCGGTTGAAAAAACGATTGCGATCGTGATTGCGGGTCGCGGCTTATCGTGGTCGTAAAATAACGATCACAATAGTTAATTGTGTGAATACATTAGCAATCGATAATAAATTTATTCTAATTCATTTTTTTAATAGTTTTACTAATTAAACATAATAATAAGTAATTATATCTCTAATAGTTTAATAACATATAACAATAGTTAAATTTATTATAAAAAATAATTAATAACACTTCCAATAGATTAATATCACATGAAAAATAATAAAATATATTATAATTTCAGTAATTGTAGGAGAAAGAAAGCAAAAGAAGACAAAAAAAATGTCCCTCCTTTCATTAGTAAGCTGCGGGAGAAAGAAAGCAAAAGAAGATAAAAAAAATATCCAGGTTGCATTTCATGCTTTTTTTTCAACGATTGAAATTTTATATATATATCGCCGTTATATAATGGCTAATAATGACATTACATAATGGTAATGTCGTTATCTCGTTGTTATAGGCATGAAACGATGTTGAGGCTCTTATAACGTCGAAAAACGGTAACAGATTGCCCGATTACCGTTATATAACGACCATTACGTCGTTTTTTAAAACCATGTTTGAGACTATAGAACTCACTTTGTATTCATCTTTTATTAATAAATATTTCTATCTTTAGTAATAATAATAATAATAATAATACTAACATTAATAACGATACTTCTTTAATTACAATTGTACGACATTTCGTTAACTTATAATGAAACTTTATTTATAGGGAAAAATAAAATTATTTACATAATGAAATTTAGCTAACAAGATGTGTTTTTTTTTTTTTAGTATTTACAAGTATTAGGGAATTTTTAAGTTAAATTTTATATCAATCAAGACTAAATTCACTACTTTTTATACTAAACCAATGCCAAGCACGTTTAGTATTTAGTCAATCACTAAACTCCTTATTTAACCAAATTAGCTTAAGTTTGATATCATTAAGAAATAATTATAGTTAATTATTTATAGATAGTGGAAATTGAATCTTGATTTTCATCAAATTAAGATAATTTTTTTTATTGTTAGATCATATGGTTTAATATAGAAAGTTTTGTTATAAATTGGTAGAGTGTCATTATCCATGTTGACGGATTCTATAATTTATGAGGACAAGATTATATTGTCCTTTTGTTTATAAAAATAGAATAAGTAAGGGATAAGTATTATCATAAAATATAATAAAATTATTTCAACTTTCTCATCTTAAAACTTAGTGGTTCTTTAAGCATTAGAGTTTTTTTTAACCAAATAATCTTGAATATTTGTCACTTGATAACTTAAAATTTTAAATTAAATAGTTATTTAATATTGTATTAGAACCTTTTTAATCAAGAAGTTGATAGTGTAAATTCTATCATTCCATTTTCGTTTAAACTTTAAATTAAATCGTTATTTAATATTGTATTAGAATCTCTTGTTATGAGTATTTATCACTAACTTCGAAAGAATGCATAACTTTACCGACTAGAGTCTTGTCTTCGATCGGTTTAAAAGCATACTAGTGACATTACCACAAACGAGTAATTAAATTATTTTCTTTTTACTTTTTCCATGTTTCAACTTGGTAAATGCCATTAAGAGATGCTACAAATTAACTAAATTTTTTTACGTACTAATTACATGAGAGTAACACTAACACCTCATCCAACAAGATAACGATAATACGAAAGAATTCTCCAAAATTGTTCAATTTAGGCATCTTAATTAATTGGTTCCTTACTATCATCATTGTAATTTACAATATGAACCCATATAAATGCTAATGATTCTTAATTTTGTCTCAACTCGTCCAAGAAAGGAAAGGTAGATCCCGTAGTTGCTCACGACGAATCAAAGTCTAAACTATCAAATTGGCCTTTCAAATATTAGATTAATAATTTCTAATTTGGCGTATAATTACTTGGGTCACTAAGATATATAATTGGTATATGGTACGTACCAAGGATTCAATTGCTTCTAAAAGTACTTTGTTAATTTGAACAATGAAAGCAATTGGCAAATTCCTAAAAAAAACCTTAGAGATGTAATCTCTAAAAGAAAAAACTTGATCACTCTCCATCTTCAAAGAAAATAAATAAATAAAAACTCTACGACCACCTACATCGTAACAAAGATGATTGCCATAGCCATACCTAAAAACAAAAAATCGATATCCTCTGCAACCAACTATCACAATCATCTCTTTTCTATAAAACCATCTCTTTGCTTTTAGCCACAATCAATATAGTGGCCATCACTTTTGAAACCTTTACAACCTATTGTTGTAATAGCCTCTTACTGCTGTCCTCCTTCCTTCACCACTACCTTCATTTCTCATCTATTAAGCACCACCCGAAACCATCGAAGAAGCTACGTTTACCAATAAAAAAAGACCCCCTCACTACTACCTATCTTTCTCCTCTACTATCCTCACCATCACCGACCGAGCCTCATCTCGACCCACTAACCATCATACCAAGAAATGGCTACCAAAAAAAAAAAGCTTCTATAGCTCTTCCAAGCCACAAGGTAACCCTATCCGAAAACAAGCCCTCACCAAGCTTCATCCAAACAGTCCTCTTCATTGCCTCCCTTTCTCCTATCACACAATCACTAAAACATTCAAGAGTGTCTTCATCCTAACCTAGTCTCAATACCACCAATGTCGGCTAATGCTCCAAGGTAGCCACCCGAACACATAACCACCATGGCTTACAATTCTTCTTCTCATTCCACATATACTTGTTAGTGTATGTGTCCAATATCCAACTATGTATGGATGGGCTTGAGTTAATGTATCATTGCAATATTTATTTTGATAATAATAAAGAAGTCATTTTGTTAATTCTTATGTTTACATATTCGGTAGAATTAGATAGAAGTCCTTATGATATGCATTTGTAATAGTGATTGATCGAAAGATGTGAGACAAACATTAATGCACATAAATGATATCATTAAATGTCCCAAGTCGTAGCATTATCAAGAATGGACATTGATACTATGCGGATAGACTTGTGAGTGATATGCTTATGCTATATGATAGTAGTAGGAGATCTCACACATATTGGCATGGTAATGCCAAAGCAAGTGCTTAGGTGATTTATGTTAAAGAACATGTCACTTGGACTTAACTCTTCATGAGAATCCATTTGGTTTTAGTTTATGGGAATCTCATACGAGATGGATACAAATGGTCTTTAGACTTGAAGTCATTACTTGTTATCACATTGGAGGACTTATGCATTTTGAAACTCGTTTCGATGGACCCACTAATGGGTTACATGTGGGCGATTCGTTGGGTGCACTAGGAATCA